CCCTTTGTCTTTGTAAAAGAATTTGAAATTAACCGTGTGCGCAGTTGTCCAGCAACATAGCAAGATGACCTAATATGCACAATTTCTTGTTGCTGTGATTGTCTTGAGCGAATATGAAGATAGTTTGAAGACTGTAAGTGTAGCCTGTTATCCAGCCATGTAGAGCCCACAGGTAACAGAGTGACTATTGTGAGAAGCTGTACACGCCTGGATACCAGGCTGAGAGCTTTAATAGCTTAATCACTGTGAGAATCTGGTGTAGTACATGAAAAATGAAACAAATTTAGATTGGCTGTCTTTGATAATAACAGTCAACTGTGTATAACAGTATCATATATTGATTCCAGCGAATTATTGGAGCACAGAAATATGTTAATGCATTACTGCCTGTTCTTCATTTTTCATTCCCATGATTAGTCCTATAATCAATTAGCCTGATGGGATGCCATCCCCGAACACTGGTTGTGATATTTTCAGTACTATTTTCTTTCAAAACTGTAACAAGGGGTCCCTTTTTCATTTATGAGCACATACTCCCTACAAAGATGTCTGCAATGTTGAAATGGTTTCAGAAAAATGATGTTCAAAACTTGCTTTTTTATCTGAGAGCCACTTGATATGTAATTTTTTTGAAGAACAGTTTCTGTTCATAAAGAGCTAAGTTGCTACCATTTCTAAGGCTGCATTCAGTAATAGATAGGCCATGTTCACTGATGCAAATCGAATGAATTTAGGCTGAGTGAGAAGTTAGACTGAATGATAAACAGCAAGTAGATTTGATTGTGGAAACTTCCCTTAGAGATCATTTGCTGACATTTTCTTATGAAATTTGTGGTTGAAGCCATGGTTGGTGTGGATGTGGTCTTATCAAGCTTCTGACTGCCAATCAAAAAATTGACTGCAGCATGATCATTAGGGAAGAGTGATATTTAGAAGCCAGTTTCAGGATTCTTCTTGTTGACGTGGACCTGTGCAGGGCTGTGGGTCGGGGTCTTGGTGCAGCGGACAGCGAGGTCGATCAGCTGGATCTCCGGGCTCTTCTTGCGCCACTTCAGCCACATGGTCACATGGTAGCGGATGGACACCTGGGAAAGGACAGGGAATGTGATGGACCATATCATGTTATGGGGAAAATGGAGAACTCTGAGAAACACTGGCAAGCCAAATTATCAACAATGTTTTTCACCCTGCTTAAGCCATAATTCCATTATCAGCAAAATACTAGTATACAGTGTAATAGGTTGGTCAAACAAAATGAAAACAAAAATACTACTCTAAACAGTATAAAATAGTTAACAGAACCAAATACCTATGCAGGAGGCACAAAGTCCACATACCAGGTTGGTTTATGTTTCAAACAATGAATTTTTAATTCTTAATGCATTAAGGCCACACCAATTTAATTTGTTGGTTCTCGGATTCGCCTCTTCGTTTTTTTCTGATTTGCAAAAAAAAAAAAAATTGATTCTGGTCCTGAATTAACTGAAAAATGCTCATATTTTGCCCCCCAACAGTTGAGGAAAGTCCTTTTCTTCCTAGTTGTTACAGTTTTTCAATCTTTTAATGCAGTGGTTTGGTTAAAAGTTCAAAATTCATTGTTTAAATTTTATCCCAGCTTTTTGTGTTGACTTCATGGCTCCAATATATGAAGCATTTGGGGCTATAATAGGATGCCTAGGCCTGTTTTTATTTTTATTTTTTTTCGCCCTGTCGCTTTAAATTTTTTCTGAAAAAATCCGAGAACCAACAAATTAAATTGGTGTGGCCTAATGATAGAAAATATAGAGCAACTAAAAAGACAAAGACTCTTTTAGCTGTTGCTGCTAAATTATGAGCATTTTGTGCATCTTTTTCAACTAAAAAACATGTGGCGGCAAATCTTACAAGGAATTTGTGACTAAGTACCAGGCTCCCATCTACACTTGAATGGAGTGAAGTTGTGTACCTTTCCCAAGGACACAGCATCTAGCCAGGAAAGCCAGGAATGGAACCTGTGATCTCTCGATCTCTGCCTAACCACTTGGCCCTAGTCACCACTTATTTGTAGCGATACAGAATCTAATCTGTACTTACGATGGACCAGAAGAAGTAGATGATGAAGAGAGCCACCATGAGAGCGATGAGGCCCCCAGCCTCGGTAGGGCTGTTGTGGTTGATGTTGTTGATGGCGCCCTGCAGGCACAGCCAGCCGCTGACACTGGCCAGGGGGGTGATGAACAGAAAGCACACCATGTCCCCCATGAAGGTACGCTTCTCCATGGCATTGTCCTTGTTCTTCAGCCACTGGTAGAAAGTACAACAAGGATGCCTTAGTTCCCTTTTCTAAGAAAATGGAGATATTAGAAGCTGCCCTATATACAGAAAGGTGTACAGGAGGATTTTAATAGGTTTTAACTGACCTTGAGGAAGGATCGAGACTTGGTTGTGATGGGAAACTGCTGGTTGCAGATCTCGCAGGTGGTGGAGCCGGAGGATGACATCCACAGCTCGATGCAGGAGCGGTGCACCAGGCCCAGAGAGCCGGTACACTGGGCACGGAGAGATCAGCTGGCCTGCTGTCTCTCCCTCATGGCAGATTTTGCAGATCCCTTCACGGGGACTGTTAGGAAAGAGCCTGACATGTACTATAACCAAAAACATCAGCAGCTAATGTTTATGGGGGAGGTTGGCTGTATAGGTACAGTAGACATTTTCATGAATGCCATTGCCTGCTGGGAGATGCAGGGCACTATATGGATAGCAGAGAGGGCAAATACAACTATTAGTATTACCATGACAACATAGACAACATGCATGTATCATTCATACCTGTTGTCATTGTTTGATCCTGGGCTACCCATAGTGCCCCACATCTCCCAGCATGCAGTGGGATCCGTTTATACATATGTGGGTCCTTGGCATATTAACCTCAAATGTTGGTGTCTTGTAACTTTTAGAAGAAAGTAAATAAACATCAACTAGTTTAGAATGTAGACTTTGTGGCTGCTTTGGTGGTATTTTTGTACATCACTGGATGCCCGTTTATTTTCTATCTTTATGTTTACCTTCTCAGAAAGAAAACATTGCTTTTGCTCTGTTTCTTCTTCCCCTTCTTCTCCAAACAAATCAAACTTACGTAATTGTTTTTCTCACGTTTACAGCGCTGTTGTATGCAGATTGTTTTCAGCGAAGCAATCGTGAAGCAATCAGCGCTCTGTCTGCATTCAACTGGGTCGAACGTGCAGGAATTAACTTGGCTGCTTGTTGACGTGTTTATGTGACGTCCTGCCGCTTTGAACACAACGCCAGATTAAATTTGTCGAGAAGGAGCAGTTCAATCCCCCCGGCGTGGTGGCATTAAATGCCATGTCAAGGATGTTGCATGGACTCTAGCAACATTTTACACGAGAATGTTTTTCAGACTGGGACTTGAGTTCAATGTCCTCGGAACCTTACCCCCCGCTAGTTGGGTTTCCTTTCCGGAATGCAGTGCAAAACAATGAATAAACAACAGCCGCGGACATCCCACTCCGACTCCTAACGGACACATTAGGGGAGCTAGGCTGGATGCTTACTTTGTGGGACTTCAGTCCCGTGTCTCAATTTTGCGGTGTTCAATATGTTTTGCAGACAAAAATGCCGTATTCTATAATATGATATTGAAGCACACTTTCACACAGGCACGCACGAACGCGCGCATGCGCGCGCGCACACACACTCATACACACCCGTGTACACGCACCCAATCAGAAAACATCTACTGATCAATCCTCCGCCATTTTAGTATTGTACCCTGGCGCCGCCGGAAGGAAGTTCAGCACCAAGGAGAGACACATGTCTGTTTGGTGATGATGGTGATGAGCTTTGATTCAAAGTTAAGCTTATTTTTCTGATTATCACAGTAACAAAGAAAAAAATTGGGTGACTAACATCCTTTTGCAAAAGTGTTTTTCCCACGCTACCTTTCAAGAAAACAAAATACATTCATCGCCCATGCACTTAAGAATTATTTTTGTACGCGGTGAAATCTCCAAAATCGTTTACCTTGGGTCTGTGGAGTTCTCGGTGTGCTGAATGGTATCCTTGAACTTGAAAGGCACGACCATGTGATCATCGTAGGGCATCTCTATGACGGGGACGGCATCCATGTACTTGTTATCGGACGCGGTGCTGTACTCATGTTCGGCGGGCGTGGAAGCCGGCACGGCCGTCTGAACAAAGAGACATCGGATTGCAAACCTTACAGACTCACGTCAATGTTATTGGCGAAGGAAAATAGAAGTAGAGTTGTTTTCTTAATTTTACCCTTGCTATTTCTTAGACTTAAAAAAGAAATCGTAAATGAAAATGCCGGTTACTAGGTACAGCCTAATTAAGCTCCTTTCTGTCGGAAATCACGGCACGGTGCCGAGAGCTCAATATTGGGTGGAATTTGGACAGCGCCACTTGGTAGAAAGCTTAAATTAAATATGTGTACCGGAGGACTGGCCGCGTGAAACCTTGTACTTTGTAGCATTGTGCGATTTTTGTCTAGAATATGCACAGGCGAGGCACCACCCAACAACATTCCCCGTTTTGGGTGCTGTGATACGGCACGTAGTCACCAAGAAAATTGTGTCTAGATCACTCGGCGCGGCAATGTCTCAGTGTTAGGCGGACAGTTCTCTGGTACACATTCTAGACCGACTGTCTACCGGCTTACGACTCCCACACAGAAATGAGAACACCTCAGCACCCCGTTAGCCGTATCGAGGCACTTTCTGTCTAAAGAGTTCAATGGTAGTGGAGTAATGCTGCAATCGTTATTACTCCAGGACACCATATGTCAATGTCATGAGTGTTCTACTTTTAAAAAATGATACTGTGGCTCAAACTGGTTCAAACAAACCGACGATATGTGGCTTGGAGCAAACAAGTGTGATGTAATATTTTTTAACAATTCATACCACTCGACTAGTACTGTCGGGTGCCCTGCGTAATGCCGCATTACGACAAAGCAATAATACGAGTATCTCGATCCAGAAGTTACGTGTAGACCGCTACTCTATATATGTCACTAAACGAGAAACCTGGTCAAGTCAAGCTTTGTAAATTTCGGGTGTAATACATGTTTGCTGGACTACTACATCCTTCACACACACAAAACAAAAACAATACCATGACAGCTAGGAAGAAATGTTGTTGCGGTTGTAGCTTTCTTACCTCATACACTCGACCATGGTATATCGAATGTTCGTGCATCGGGGGCATGGAGAACTGAGCCGCACTCATGGTGGAGGAAAAAACTGCACCACACCCAGCTGTGACGACTGCGGAAATGTGATCTCACAACAGGTTGGTCTACCGCAGACTAATATCTCAGCCCTCCGTTCTGCCGAGCATGAACTTGAATCAATATTTACGAAGATGCAGAGGAAAGTTCGATAATATTCAATGGGGAGGGCCCGCGTCAATTCAGACCACGTCACTGTTTAGCGTAATAAAATAACGTCGTTGTTTTGTTGTTTTTTTCTGGGCCGCAGTCGATGAGTCTGTGATATCTAATCCAACCGGTTGGGAAGCCAAGAAAGGGGGCAGATCGCACAGCTTAAAAAGCAAAATTTGAATACAGATGGCCGAGACCTATATATCGTCAGACTTGAATCATTCAGCAGTTGTGCACAGACTCATCAGCCGTTCTGTGAAATGAATGGTTCACGTCTTTAATAAACAAAACATGGTGTGTTGCGTAGAAAATGACGACGGAGACATTTTAGGACGAAATGTGGCAGTGGAAAAACGGAATAAAATGGAGGTTACGTAAAAGAATGGAATGAAAAACACCCGACGTAATGACGGGATATGAGGTCTGATGTGTCGTCTTAAGCCCAGATTGACAGGCTAATTAAGTTCCCCTGTCTTATATTTGGGTTACATCTAGAATAATGGACACCGCAACATTTGTTTGTGACGGAGTGTCAACATATTCATCGCTTCTGTCCTCTTTACATGGAATTGTGGAGTTGGGGTCGCTAGACGTTGGTTGTTTTAATCAATCCGACGTTATAGATCTCGTTATCGCTCTCACTCGAGCTCGTAATTTAGGCTGCTTTATCAACACCTCATCTTGTGAGACCATATATGAATTTCGATGGTAACTCTTATTTGGAGCCAGTTTCTGTGCTACCGTTGACATGTTTTGGCGACTTACATGTTTGGTTCAGAAATCGTGTCCATTCAGTGTTCTTCTGGGTTAACAGTTCATCTCCAGAAGTGGCCGGTCGCTCAATTTACTTGCGTTTATCTTTTATGCTTCATATTCTCATAAACTGGAATATACCATAGCAAGATGAAAAACAACACAAATACGATATTTCTTAAAGATGCTGGTGCATGAAATAATATTAACCATTCATAGGGATTTGACAATAAAGAAGTTTTTTGACTGGACTAGCTTTCAGTGTTCATGGACGCTTTGCTATCTCATTGCACGTGTACCTCGGGCACTACTAAATATCAGGTACCAAACCAAGACACCAGAGCGCCAGTCTTACCTACCTTCAAGCGCGGATATAGCACCCGGCTATGTACTAGTATTCTATTTTACTTCTATTTTACTTCATATTGTACGACTTTCTGTTCAAAGTGGATTATTAGACAGACGTACAAAATTCACACGCCTGCCACAGAGTCTGATCTGTTTAGAGGTAAATTGAAAATATGTACTTGGTTAGTAATACTAACTGGCTGACTTTGGAGTCAAATAGACGGACCAATGCGATTAAAACTACGAAATAAGGTTTCTGATTGTTTACCTGTCAACTGAAGAAACTCTTGTATGTTGAGCACCGTTTTTTTCTGAAGATGTGGGGGAAGATCAACATTCAAACTTAGCAGACAAGATATGTGAGGAGTTGCGGAAGAAAGACAGTCTTGTGCGTGGCAGTCGTCAGTGACGCACGGCTGATGTGTGCGGCCCACGCGCGCAGCTGCAGATTGACCTTATGGCACGTTCGCCGACGCCACGTGACTTGACTTGTTGGTGCAACACAGAGATTGTCTGGTCTGGTCTTTAAACTCGAAAGTACTTTTTGGGTTTGTTTACTTTCACCAAGAAGGTTATACTTATCGGTACCGTTTGTTTGTGGGATAGTTCGAGAAGCTCTGGGTGGAATTTTCATACTTGCGGATTTTGAAAGTAAAGGTTAACATCATAATAATCAAAGTATACCAATTAACATCATAATAATCAAAGTAAAGGTTAACATCATAACGACATAAATCATCAGGGTCTCATGTGCATACTTAATGACGATGCTACAGCAGCCTCTTTTGCAAAGATAAACCTTTTATATATTTAGACAACTTGTCTTATTTGGATGAGAGAAGGTCATCAACTGAATTCATACAAATAAAGACCCGATTTTCATAATCAATGAAAATCATTTGTAATAATACGTAACTGAGTTGTAATGGCTACTATATCATTTGGTAAAGGTCGTGAAACTCTTGCTTCCAGCCCGATATGCTGACTGCGTGGTTCCTACATTTACCCACAAAGCCTATCTAACTCGTACTCCTTCTCAATGGCATTCGTGGAACAATCCAGTTTCTCCAGTGGCCCGGATTGCTCATGCTCACAGTTTTAGCTGATTAATGTTGACAATAACTGTTAGTCGAAAACAATGAAAACTGCAAACCATGCCTCACGTACTACCATTTAATATCAGACATTTTTTTTTATATATTGATACGTTTGGTGTGAACCGAAATAATGAATACAGTAGTTTGTTGTATCATGTGTATGTACAAGTGCAACTCATTCACTCAACCCACCAGTTGCAAAATGGCGTCACATAGCTATCGAGCACGGAAGCACGAAAAGCTTAAGTCTTTCACACATTATGTGCAACTTATAACGAACATATGCCGCGTCTTTAAATTGTTGTTTTTGTAAATGTTATCTACATTATTGTTTTCAAAACGATAAAAATAGACAATATTGTACACAACAGTGTAGCACATCCGTTCTTATTCACCACAATTTACAGCACTGTAAGTTTGTACCTTATCCTTCACTTCACCTTTTACCATTGGCCCCTCTAAAACGTGGCACTGTTATTTTTTAAGGTAATGTTACACATGCCACACACTGTGATACAATTAGGAAGAATATTTTTTTGCTTGTGTAATATATCCAAACGGCACTTCTTGTATAGTGATTAAAATCAGATTTGTCAAACACACAAAAAATGCTGTTTACGATTCACACCAACAAGTGTGTGAAAAGTCCCGCCTTTCTCTTTTTCAACGTTTTACGATAACATATTCATATTGGACTGCTTCAATTTGTATGATTGGTACAGTTTGGGCTCAAGTAAACACTGTCGTCAACTGAAAAATAATTTCGAAAGAAATATCGCCTCTTTTGATAATTTGTTTCATCGACTGCTTGGTGTTCAGCTGTTACACAGGAGCCTTGGATGATACCCGGAGTGGTTTGGACGTGACCTTCTGTAGCTTGTCTTCATACCAGTAAACCTTGTTCTTGTAAGAACCCGGTGACGACCTTGGTGCTGCTCCGTACGTCTTGGTGTACATCGAGCCATATTCGGACGAGATTGGCGCCTTGTCCACACACCCTATTCCCTTTCCTGCAGAACAGAATTGAATGATAGAATCAAACATTTTCTCAGTGTATCATGATAAAGTTTACATTCGGATGGTCGCTGGTTCGAGCCCCTGTCCTGTCACATCAAATATTTTAGCACTTCTGATCAGCACTTTTACGAGAACTCTGAGAGTAGCCTGGTATCCAGTCTATTGTGGTTGGGACAGGCTCGGGGCTCTGATATTTTTCTCTCGTCCAGCTCAACAGACCTACAGTAGGAGTGTTACGCCTATAACTCCCGTCGTGCAAAATCTACCGGGGAACCTCGGGCGGGGAAGAGCTCATGCAGCCGCGAAGAGAACCTCCCCAACCACGATAGACTGGATACCAGGCTAGAGAAAGAGTAGCCCTCTGCTGTGGTGACGTCCCAATGACTTATATAGAACCATAACAGCAAAGATGGGCACCGACCTACAGACGAAATATGTGGGAAGCATCTTAATTTATGCTGACCTTGACGTTTGAAAGAAAAGAAATTAGTTTGCTGTTGTCTTGTCCTCCCACGATATTGTACCTTCCCTATGTGTATGATAATAATAATATAGAAACGTGACTTTTTGATTACCAAATGAAAAGTCAATTTACCTGCAGTCAAGCGTCGTTTCATTCGACTAGAGTTCTGAAGTTCGTTGAGTTTTGGGTGCGGAGCCTGCCGTAGGCGTTGAAAGGGCACCGTTTGTTCGTTGACTCTCATGTAGAGTCCGGTCGAGGTCGGGCGATGGCCTTTCTTACCCATGTTACCTCTAGACCCTAGCGTAGGTGTTTCGTGCGTCGCTAGAGGTCGCTGCATGAACGCAGATCCGTTGTTCAGTGGCTGACTGGTGCTGGCCGTGTAACTGGTGGTGTGGCTCGTGTTGTCTGGCTCCCAGGGAGGAATTGTGGCTCCCCCATAACCTAGATATCATTAAGTAAAAAGAAATGTATTTTAAAATTCTTTAACAGTAACTAACATTGTAATGTTATGTGACCATGTATATACATGACAAGATCCCTTCTGTTTTGAGAAGAGTGCTTTATTTGATCAAAATATTAAGTAAGGGTACTCAGTAACATCACCTTAATCTGACATTGAGTACCGTAATCGCAATTGAACGATAAAACACCCAGGTTTCTCCAGTTGAGCTGACTTACCGTCATCACCACAATCCCCGTCGTTCCCAGTGTACTCTGTGTGATATGGTGCCTGGACCCCCATGCCTTCCATCGCTGGTGTATGGTCGAACTACACAACATATTAAAAGTAGAACAAATCGTCATTTCGGAGTTGAGAAGCAAAGGCCATACGATGGAGGGGCTCATAATCTTTTAGTTAACAGAGACCAGTCATATTTGTAATTTTCAATGATTATCCAAGTTCTCGGTCTGTCCATGACATATACCGTTTCACGGATCCCATTGCATACTGGTAGATGTGGTGCACTGTGGGTAAGCTCAGGGAGCAAACAACACCAATACCATGACAACATAGACTGACCGCACACCAATACGCATGCACAGCATACACGATACCCCCTGTGCTGCCCATAGTGCCCTGCGTCTACCAGCATGCAATGGGATCTGTGTAAAGGTCTTTGTCATGTCTCTCAAG